GTGTGCATCATCTTCAATAGCAGTTTGGTTTTGTTCCAGGAAAAGTTGATGCTTCTTATTTACATTCAAATCAGATGGCAAATATGTCTGTCCTTGAGTACCCTTTCTTCTGTCATGGCTGGATCTGCACGTAAAAGATTGAATGTGTAATATATAACACAGCTAACTCTGTAAAGCAACTTTTTATTTTCATTTCCGTAACACTTCTGATGTGTAGTAACCATAACAATAATAATAATGTAAAATGAAATTTAGTATTTTTAAAAATAAAGTTACAGGTAACTCACCTGGCAGAACCATTTATCGTGATCACACGTAACCGAGGGGATCTTTGCTCCGCTTGTATGACGAAATGATTTTTCTTTTTCTCTTGTTGAGCTTTTTTTCTTTCTTTTTCGAGATTTTACAGTACAAACAACCCTTTCATCCAGGCCGTCGTTATGCACCGTATCAGTTGTTGTTTCGCGTCGTGATGTTCAGTGCGTATGCGCAGAATGCCGCAGAATAGCTTGCGAATCACACGGATTGGTCCGAAAACATATACAGCATTTTGATAATAAAAAAAATAAAAAATACCGCGTTTTGAAAAAAAAATTATAATTTTAGATATAGAATAATATAGGATTACAATGTGTTATGTAGATAAACTTTAACATGTCCTAAAGGAGCCTGGTTTGCTCTACAAGAATATACAGTTATCTCATTTTCTCCCAAAATGGCGGATACCGTGTTTTGAAAATCGACTCTTCATATTTTATTAATTATATCTTTTCATGCAGGGTTTGCAAAACTGAAATTGTTTGACCGGCTTGTGTTATGCAAAAAAATATATATATATTTTTATAAAAAAATTATATTAAATTTTTTTTAAAAATAGTAATGTGGCTTTTATTTTTTATTTACATTATTTTTATGGATAGCTACTTAATTAATAATGAATTTTCCAAAAAAAAAAAATTCAATTAAAAAGGGTTCTTTCACTAAAAAGCACTGCAAACATTATTTTATATGCTGAATGTAAATGGGGAAAAAACATACTTATAATTATAATGTTTAGACTACCTTTTCTAAATGTTTCCTAATTTTACCAGAGTCAAAAATAAAATTAAACAGGTTCATTAGAAAGGTCTGTACATTTTATGGGTTTTGAAAACTTGTCATTTTTATAAATGGCATATGGATGGCATAACTATTTTAAGAAGTCATTACATGTTTACAGAAGACATTATATTTATTTAATGTGTTATTTTATCTAAGGGAAATTCGTATGCAAATAAAGTATACATTTCCCAATATTCACTAGATTAAAATTTCTATTTGGAATTTCAAACTGCCATAACTTTCTTAAATTACCTCTTCGCTATACTTTAAAATATTTTTATCTAAAATCCACAGAATCTATTTTAAATTGGCGAATTAGGAATACGAATTTTTTTTTAAACACATACCAGAAAAATAGAATCGCCATGTTAATCGAAATGCTAGTTGACAGAAAAAAAAATCTTAGCGTTCTACTGGATTCTCATCTAAAATAAATTAATAATATAAAATAATGAGTGCAATGCAAATGGATGGGGGACTTTGTTATTCTGACAATACAAAGAGGAACGTATTTTTGAAGTTAATAATAATAAAAAGAGGCTAAGTATTTAAAAAAAAAACAACAACTCTGTTATTCTGGAAACTTTGTAACAAATGTAACACATTTAAAGAAAATAAAAACTCTTTTGATTTAATCGTAATTTATTAAACGTGCGCTATTTCTTTGCGCCCTTTAAATTCTAAATTATAAAAAAAGCATGATGCCTAATTTAAAGTCCTGCTTTTACGATGAATAATAATGTGAATAGCCTTAATTAAATATACGGATCATCAAATATATCGAGGCTAGCGATATTTCATAGATTCCACTGATTGTAATCGGTTAAAGGCACCAGTCACTATGCAAATGTCATTTTTTATTTTTTTAAAATATTTTTGTTATTTTGGTGTACACATTGTTCTCCAAATCGAGGGGGGTGGGGGGGGGGGGTTGGCAATGTGCCCTCCCGGGGAGAGGGCTAAAAGAAACACTGAGGCTAACAATAACTTTATTTTTTAAAGTTATTTTGGTGTACACATTGTTCTCCAAATCGAGGGGGGTGGGGGGGGGGGTTGGCAATGTGCCCTCCCGGAGAGAGAGCTAAAAGAAACACTGAGGCTAACAATAACTTTATTTTTTAAAGCATGATGCCAACATTCAATTTGTAATTAACACCATTCCCAGGTTTAAAAGTCATGCTTTTAATATAAAATATAATTTGAAAACTTAAAAAGATTGCTCACGTTTGATACTTAGTGAGAAATCTATTAAAATTATATACTTTAAAATGGATGCCGATGTACTTAATTTAAGGGTTACTAAAGTCTTTCAACTTGAAAGTTTTCGGGAAAAGAAAAATAATAAGCAAAAAATACCAATAAGTGCGAACGGGGGTAATACTTCGGCTCACAAACGGAACATTTTCTAAACATTGCGATATTTATAATCGAAAAATGTAAGCTTCTATGAAGATAAGCCATAACTATAAGGATCATCATCTATATCGAACGTGGCGGCGTAGCGATATTTCATAGATTCCACTAATTGTAATCGGTTAATGACACCAGCCAATATTCTCTTTAAAATTGATTTAAAAATTACAACTTAGTATTTTTTTAAATATTTTTTTTAAAAGATAAATTTTTAAAAAATGCTTTGTTTTATTGTTGTACATATTTTTGCTCCGGGAGTGGGGCACTTGACTTTCCCGGGGGGGGGGTGGGTAGATATAACTAAAAGAAACCCTTCTCCCAACATAAACCTCCACTAGTTTTATAACTATTCAACAAAAACAAAAAAAAAAAAAAAAAAAAAA